ACACACACACACACACACACACACACACACACACACACACACACACAAAATGCTTCAAAGACATCTTCTCTGCCAGCAACTGTCTGTTTAACCTCTGACTGGTGTGAGCCTTGTTACTGATATTTGTAGGCAAGGATAATTATTTCAAAACAAATATGTAATCCTCTTCATTTCTTTTTTCTTTAAAAATTTTGCCTTCCTTTTTCAAAGTCAGCGCCCCACTCTGCCTCAGTTCTCCCTCCCTGGGTTTCACCCACTGTCCAACTGGTCCCTTTGAAATGAACTTGATACCTTGGTTGGAAATGCAGAGATCACTCCTCTTCTGCGTCTCTCTTGCTGGGAGCTGTGCTCCGGAGCTGTTCCTATTTGGCCATTTTGGTGGTGGTCTATTGTACAGTATTTTAATTGCTAACTGAGAGGATCTTAGATGTTCTCACTATAAAAAATAAGAGAAAAATGAAACTATGTGAAGTGATGGATACTTTAATAACGTGATTGTGGTGATTACTTCACAGTATATATATATATCACAACATCATGTTATGGACCTTAAGTATACTCTATTTTTTAAAAATTAAGGCAGACTATAAATATATAATTTATCATCTTTACCATTTTAAAATGTACAGCTCAGTGACAATAAATACATTTATTTTTATACTTAATTTGTATTTGCTGGTTCTACCTCAATAAAGCTAAAAAATATATTTAAATAAATGTTAAAGAAATTTACGTATACACAAACAAGAAAATAAGTATGTAGAAATTCCGTCTTTCATAAAAATAAGCCAAAAGAATAAAAATATTATCCAAATTCTTTGAAAAATAATTAGCAGATGGAACATTTTATTATATTTGTACAAATGTACTCAAAAATCTTATTTTAACTCAATTTTAGTGATTTATCTCCCATAAATTTCTTACATAGAGAGATTAATTTGTCCAAGGTCACATCTTGTAATATGTTTTGAGAGAATTTTCTAGTTTTGGAAAAAGGGGATCTGTGAATGTTACTGTGAGGCACCCCTGGGAAAACATAGGAGGGGGAATTTCTTTTTAAAAGAGACCTGGCCACAAACAGTATTTTTAGAAAAAGTGTGGTTAGGCACTGATGGAATTTTGTAAAGCAGGAAGGAAATCATTGTGCCATATAATGTTCCAAAAATTAGAATGAATATATATATTTTTCTTCGGAATTTATCTTCTAGATAATTTTAATTTAGAAGGAATGCCATTAAATATTTTGTTAATGATTATTGGGTTGCTATTACACATTATTTATTTCTACTTTGCCCAGTATTTTGCAGTTATCTGGGAATTTCGTCATCTCAAAATTAAAAACTAGGGTGTGGTTATCTTTACTTACATAATAGTGCAATTTTTTTTGTGGAATAACAAAATTTCTTTGTTCTCTAACCATGCTTTGCTTTATTTTATTTTGCAAATGATTTAAAAATTCTTCTTCTTTTTTTTTTTTGTTTTGAAACAGAGTCTCACTCTCTTGTCCAGGCTGGAGTGCGGTGGCACAATTTCAGCTCACTGCAACTTCTACCTCCCAGGCTCAAGCAATTCTCCTGCCCCAGCCTCCTGAGTAGCTGGAGTTACAGGCACACACCACAGCACCTGGTTAATTTTTGTGTTTTTAGTAGAGACAGGGTTTTGGCATGTTGGCCAGGCTGGTCTCAGATCTGCCTGCCTCAGCCTCCCAAAGTGCTGGGATTACAGGTGCGAGCCACTGCGCCTGGCCTGATTTAAAAATTCTTATGAATACAGTTACTTGTAGCATTGATATTTGGCAAAGGTCATTCCAATCTTTTTACTATGTATTATGATTTTTGCAGGTTAGTATGTATTCTCTTAAATATTTATCTTTGTTTACTCTTCACAAGTTTATTATGCAACCAATTTTGGATTTACATAGAGATTTATAAATAAATTCACATAGCAACTTACAGCTTTGAATGCATTTGTAGAAAAGAAATACTATTGAAAATCAAGGTAGACATTCAACTCAGGAAACAAGGAAACTTTTTATCTTTCTTTAACCTTAGAATTTAGAAGCGATACTAAGATGAAACTAGGTTTGGACCTTTTTCAATAATTCTGACCACTGTTCTGTAAATTCAATCTATAAAAAAAGTAGAGATTTGGGATTGAATTTTGTTTTATTTTTTTCCCAAAGACTTCTGTCTCTGATATCTTAGTGTCTGGCAATTGTTTTTGGTAGTAGGTGGGCTCTGAATAAATGTCGGTTGAATAAATGTGTAAAAACCAAGCAAAGGGGTGTTATTTCAACTGCCTACAGGGTGTCACAACAAATACCAATGAAAAAGAAACAAAATAAAGACTCAATACAGTAATAATTCTCCAGTGAACACTCCAGTCCTCTAGAGCTACTTCCCTGTATCCCCCAAAAGTGCTCTCTAACCAGACGCAAGCAGGGGACGCCAGTGCTCTCAGGCCATGAACGGTGATGGGAAGCCTCATACCTGCCCTCACTCTTTCTTCATACCTAGGGTGAAGCTGGCCCACTGACTTCCAACATGCTCTCTTCATTTGGGTACGGATGGGGATCCAAGGCCCCTATGTATTTCCTCCAGACTCGCTCATAAAACATGGGTGAAATCTACCTGCCCTCTAGCTCACCACTTCCAGGTCAAGCTCAGTCATGAGCCACTTTAACTATGACAATTGGCTTGACTGGGGAAACTGAACAAGAGGGAGCTTTCTTTAGATTATCTGATAATCTGCATTGCCATTGCTTCTGCTTTTTCGGCAGCATGGAGAGTTGGATTATGGAGAGTTGCCCGTGGATTATGCAGCTACATCCAGGATGCCGACTGTCTTCTGATCATGATCAAGAGAAGAGTGATGAGACACAGGTGGAGGAGAGGATCACAGAGAGGTAGAAATGGGAAACTGGTGGATGGGCCACTAGGCACCATGGAGTGACTACCATCACTTCTCACAGATTAGATAATCAACAGCCCAAGTATGGATTTGATTTCTCCAAGGCCAAAAGCTACCAAATTTTCTAGCCAGACTACAGACTTTGTTTTAAGCCAGGATCTGTTTTCCAGCGGTTAGTGCAATTAGGTAGGCTGGGAGGATGTAGACAAGGGCAGTGAGAAAATCTGGAGCCAGATAGTGGGAGAAACAGGGGAAATGAAAAACCCCGTGGGAGGCTGTGGCAAAGGGAGGCAGTGGGGTTTCTCTGACAGCGAAGTCAGCAGGGAGATTTGTCTGTCTGTGCAGCAAGAGAAGTCAGATGACAGTGCAAGTGCATGTGGAGAGGGGTACTGATATCTGAGTTCTGAGGGTAGGTGTCCTGCCAAGTCATCATTCCTTTACCAGAGCTTCAATGCTGCTCCTACTCCTCCTCTTCGAAGGACTCTGCTGTCCTGGGGAAAATACAGCAGGTAAGAAGAGTACAGGTGGCAAGTTACTTATGGTAAGGCACCGGAGGCTGAGAAGAAGCTCTGGGGAGGACCGGGGGAGGGAGCAGTACTCCTCTAGGATGTTCTCGGAGTATGCCTTTCAGGCTAGTTCCCAGCAGAGAATTCTCACTCACAGTCTCAGTTTTTGTCTCCGATTTTGGAGAAACGTAGCTGGCCCCAGGGGAAAAGCGTATCGGAGTATGTGCAACCTGCATAACTATCTCTCTTCTCTGGGTCCCTTTTCTTCCTTTGGCATCACTTCTCCTGTCCCTTTACATTATCTCCACTTGTCATCTCTCTCTCTCTCAGTTCCCCAGGCTCTACAATCCTATCGTCTAGCAGCAGAGGAACCCCTGGCCTTCCGCATGCTCCAAACTTCCTCCTTTGCCAACCACAGCTGGGCACACAGTGAGGGCTCAGGATGGCTGGGCGACCTGCAGACTCATGGCTGGGACACTGCCTTGGGCACCATCCGCTATCTGAAGCCCTGGTCCCACGGAAACTTCAGCCAGCAGGAGCTGAAAAACTTACAGTCACTGCTCCAGTTGTACTTCCACGGTTTTACCCGGGTAGTGCAAGCTTATGCTGGTCATTTTCAGTTTGAATGTAAGTTTCTTGCTCTAAGCTGATAATTTGCTTGAGGACATCAACTATTTTCCAAAGCAGAAGATAGTATATAGACTCTGACCATCATTTAACCTTACTAACCTTACTCGTCACTCTCTGGCTCCCTCGCCCTCCTCTGCTTCACCCTTCACCACAACCCACACTCCACCATATACACAAAAGGGCCTGCATGTGCATATCTCAACATACCCCCGAATATACCTTCCTGTTCTGGCTCTTTGGAATCATTGTCTCCTCTGGATCTTCTGCCCTTCATTCCTGCCCTCCAACTCAGCCTTTCTCAACCCAGTTTCTGCCCTTCTTTCTCCCTGGCCTGAGTGTTCACATGGACTGGCCTAACCAACTTTCACGTGAATTCTTTATGACCAGTCTTCTATCTTCCTGATAGCCTTCCCATCTATCACTTTCCCATTAATTATTTCAAAGTATCTTCATTATCTTCAAATTTTCTTCCCACAAATTTTCTTCCCCTTTCCCATTAAGCTCTAGTCTCCATATGATTTCCCAGCAAAATTTTCTTCCCTTGAATCTCTTTACTCTTTAAATTGTTTTCCTTCCTTGTGGTTCTTTCCATATTGATCTCTTGTCTCTGTCCACTCTCAGACCCCTTCGAGATCCAGATATCAGCTGGCTGTAGAATGAATGCCCCACAAATCTTCTTAAACGTGGCATATCAAGGATTAGATTTCCTGAGTCTCCAAGGAATTTCCTGGGAGCCATCTCCAGGAGCAGGGATCCGGGCCCAGAATGTCTGTAAAGAGCTCAATCGCTACCTAGATTTTAAAGAAATACTGCAAAGCCTTCTGGGTCACACCTGTCCTCGATTTCTGGCGGGGCTCATGGAAGGAGGGGAGTCAGAACTGAAACGAAAAGGTGAGCCTAACTCTTTCTCCCCTCTTGTTCCTAGTACTATCACTCTCGTGTTTGAATTTGCCACTCATCATCATTTTGAAAGACATAGTGACAGGCTGGGAGGTGAGATGTGTTGGTTTAGGACTATTTCTTAGACCAGAGAAAGAAGTGATTATTAAGTCATTCTTAGTATTATTATTAAGGCACCTGAGTCCCTGAGCTCTGGCCCGGGGTACCCTTCAAAATTCCATTTTTCCTGTCTTCTTCTGCCTAGTGAAGCCAGAGGCCTGGCTGTCCCGTGGCCCCAGTGCCAGGCCTGGTCGTCTGCTGCTGGTGTGCCATGTCTCAGGATTCTACCCAAAGTCCGTGTGGGTGATGTGGATGCGGGGTGAGCAGGAGCAGCGGGGCACTCAGCGAGGGGACGTCCTGCCCAATGCTGATGAGACATGGTATCTCCAAGCAACCCTGGAGGTGGCGACTGGGGAGGCCGCTGGCCTATCCTGTCGGGTGAAGCACAGCAGTCTAGAGGGCCATGATCTAATCATCCACTGGGGTGAGAAAAAGCTGAGGCTCTGCTGGGAAATAATGAAAGAGAGCCCTGGGGCTTTTGAGTGAGGGGCTGTGGAAATGGGTAGGAATGCTAGGCACAAGAAGGGTAAAACTGGGAGAATCAAAATAAAGAAGGATAGAGTATGACAGTTGGGAATTAAAGATACTAACAAAAAAAGGGGGAGGAACTAGTGATTTGTTGGGAGAGGGTTGGGAGGAGATCACAGACAAAGGATCAGGAGGAATTGAAATGAGGGCTCTGGAAAACACAGATGAAAACTCTAGGAAGGTCCCACCCTTGTGAAATGAGCAATCTCAGCTTGGGGGAATAGAGTATTTTGGGGTTGATGTTCTCATTCTATCCCTAATTAGGTGGATATTCCATCTTTCTCATCCTGATCTATTTGACTGTGATAGTTACCCTGGTCATACTGGTTGTACTTGACTCATGGTTTAAAAAACAGAGGTGAGACTTTTCTTGTTCTTTGTTTCTTCAGCCTCTAATCAACTCATTATTTTTTCCTCCATCTTTTTTCTTTCTGCCTTTCCCCTTTATTTCCCTTCTTTGAGATTAATATCGTCCTCTTTTTCCACAGTTCAAATAAGAACATTCCCTACACACCCAGCCCTGTCTTTCCCATGGGAGACAACACCCGGGACACCAAGAATTCAAGACATCAGTTCTGCTTGGCACAAGTATTGTGGATCAGAAACAGACTCTTGGAGAAGTGGAAGACTCGCATAAATCAACTCTGGTGATGTTTGTTTTACCTTATACGTAAAATCCTTGCCTGCATCTTCTTACACATAGTGCATGTCCCGTAAGGGAAGCACACTTTTAAACAGCTTGTACTAGCAAAGATATTGATCCCTTTAAAAATATTTTTTTCCCTGTCTTCCAGTGATATTTTTTTTCCTGCTTTGGCTACATATCCATCATTGTTGATTTTTCAAAGTATAATCTAGATGCTTCTTTTTTATGGACTCCCAGGATCATCCAATTGAGAGCTCTTCCATACTCCCCAAATTGAACTGATCTTCACAGGCACATTCATCTCTTCCTACTCGGAATAATAGTTATTTGTTTTTTTTTTTTTTTTAAATCTCAGTTGCTTGAAAGTAGGATTTAGGCATTTGTGTCTGTATTCATGACCAAAAACCTTATCCGAATTCAGGGCCAGCTTCATAAGCATGTGACCTGTGCAGACACATGGAATCGTATGCTCTGAAGGAAACTATGCTAGATTTAATGCTCTGCTGTTGTCATCTTGGAATCTTTAATCATTTTCAAACAAGAGATACTGCATTTTCATTTTTCACTGACCCCACAAATTGTATCGCTGATTCTGTCTGAATGTAATATTTCTCAATAAATGCTGACTGAAATAAATTTGTTGTCAGATCAAGTGACGTTGTCTTACTCCATTCCTTCTCTGAGATCTCGGCATCATTTGATGGTGCTCTTATTAAAACTCTTCCTCTCATGTGGAGAAATAGGAACACTTTTACACTGTTGGCGGGAGTGCAAATTATTTCAACCATTGTGGAAGACAGTGTGGCAATTCTTCAAGGACCTAGAAATGGAAATTCCATTTGACCCAGCAATCCCATTACTGGGTATATATCCAAAGGATTATAAATCATTCTACTATAAGGACACATGCACACAAATGTTCATTGTAGCACTGCTTACATTAGCAAAGACCTGGAACCAATCCAAATGCCCATCGATGATAGACTGGACAGGGAAAACGTGGCACATATACATCATGCAATACTATGCAGCCATAAAAAACGATGAGTTTGTGTCCTTTGTAGGGACATGGATGAATCTGGAAACCATCATTCTCAGCAAACTGACACAAGAACAGAAAATCAAACACCGCATGTTCTCACTCATAGGTGGGTGTTGAACAATGAGAACACATGGACACAGGGAGGGGAGCATCACACACTGGGGTCTGTGGGGGGGGATTTGGGGGAGGGACAGCGGGGGGTGGGGAGTTGGGGAGGGATAACATGGGGAGAAATGCCAAATATAGTCGATGGGGAGGAAGGCAGCAAACCACATTGCCATGTATGTACCTATACAACAATGTTGCATGTTCTTCACATGTACCCCAAAACCTAAAATGCAATTATATATATATATATATATATATATATATATATATATAATCTTCCTCTCTCCCTTTGCCTCTCACCAGAGGTGAAGGAGGCAGATGAGTGCCTCAGATTCCATAGTGATTGGGATGTTAATGAATCTTCGGGGATATTTAAAAAAATAATAACATAAGAGCTATCTCCTGCCAAAGTGAGGACAGGTTTGAACTGGCATTCCTACTTCCCTGAGCCGTGTATATATGTGTATCTTCGTGGATGTGCATATTCATGGGAGAAATTCATATTTTGAGCAATTAGAGCACGTAGGGTTTGAGGCAGAGCTAAGGTGATGAAGCAAACTAGTGATTGGATGCCTGTTAAGCTACACATTTGTTTTTATTTATTAGCTTGGCTTATTATTATTATTTACAGTTTGTTTTCATATGGATTCTTACATTTATCTACTTACTTTAATTGAGATACATTTGATTGAGCCTACTGGAAAGCAGGAAGCTGGTAGAGGTGCAGTGTTTGTATACATGTCCAGTCAATCCCTCCCTTGGATGGAATAATTGAGCAGGTTGTGCAGATTTCTTAGTGAAAGTTATAAGCTTCATGCTGGGCATTTTCAAGTAATCAGTAAGGGTCCCATGATTACACATCCGGGCTGCACTCTTACTCATAAACAAGGTATTGAGGCCAGCCTTTTCACTGTTGAGAATCCGTCACCTTCCCTATGGCATATCCAGTCAGTCTATCTAGAGTCAGGTCACTGGAGTCCAGAAAGGAAGGTGGAATTTTAAAGGGGTATTTGGAGCAACAAATGATGAAAAGTCAGGGTTCCATTATGTGGTATAACTCTACAGGGGAGGACCTCTAGTAAAATGAAGAGGTTCACGTAGGAAACTTTCTGTTTTGGGCACAAGGTATGTAGTGAAAATGTACTTCTGATGATAACTGCTTAAATAGATTTCCCCCCATGACTCTAGTGTTTGAGTTTCAGTAATTTTTGAACTCCTGATCTGGCTCAGGACAGTTTCTCTGGTCCTCTGTTCAATATTTTCTCCACTGCACATTATGCTTCTGTGATACTATTTTTTCTGTCTCTTAATTATGTCAGACTTCTCAGTTCAAGTGTCACACCCTGATTAGCCTAGGCAGAGCACTCCATCTTAGTCATATATGAGTTCAATTTATTTCAAATACTTAATTTAGTTAAAATTACTCTTTTATGTATTCATGGACTTTTTCATCTGAAATGTAAGCACTGTAACATCCTGGATTTTATCCGTCTTGACCACGTCTGTATCTCTGTGCCTAGATTACAGCCTGTCATATAGTGGGTGATTTTAAAAAGTTTTGTTGAGTGAAAAAATGGGATTAAACTTTGTCTTGTCGGAAAAGAGTTTACTAGTATCTATCTGATAGGCCATAGATTTGTAGGTATTGATAGGTGTCCAAAGCACTGGTGTCACTAAAAAAACAGGTGAATCATGGATATTGCACAAAGACGGTAAAATGGTCACTCTTTGAAGGAAAGAGCCCAATTCTATCTTTCCTTCAAGTCATTGCCTTTACAAGTCTGCCAACATCCTAAGATACAGATAAAGCTTAGTAAGAAGGGACTCTTACTTTGACTCATTTCATACCCAGGAGGAAGGGAGGAGACCCCAGAGCAATTTATCAGAATTCTCTGTACTATGAGTAGCAACCGCAGTTAACCACAAATACCACTTTGTTTTTTCCTTCTGTTGTACTTTGGTGATCCCCATGGAATCTCTTAGGGACAGATGACTGTTGTGTACAGTGATTTTAAAGAAGCTCTAGGTTCTTGAACAAAATACCTTATGCATTCAGTCATTTTTTCACAAGGCCCTTTAGTTGAGAAATGGGCATATATTTGGATGAGGCACAAGCTATACCTTTTGTAGACAATAGATCTCGGCTGCCTGCACAAAACATCCCTTTTCCCCATAAATTGACATAAAAGGGTTAAAAAAGAGCCTCAGGACAAAGAATCATATTTAAGAAATGTCAGCTCAACAGGACTTGAAGAAGTTTAAATATCAGTCCATAATAGTGTCAGGAAATCTCTGGGTCATCCCTGTAGTTTGGTGAACCTTTGGGCTGGGTAATTTTATTATAAATCCTGGATGATGGAGTACTTAAGAGCAAAATATGTTGCTAAAGACAGAGGTGTTACCTAGTACTATTAACCACTTCATTCTGGCTGAAACTCGGGGACATGGGACTTATTTTAGAGGACAAGGGTAGTTTTTTTTTCAATAGTTAGGGATACCAATTTCCATTCCTACCAGGTATAAAACCAAGTAGGTAATCTGCTTTGCTGACAGTACACATCTGGAGCTTTCTGTGTTCTGTTGTAAACACAAATACAGTAGGAATGAGAGTAGGTAGTTTTGGAAAAAGTGATGGAGGGGGTATTCTTGGTGGTTGCTAAATTTCTCCAGAAATAGCATTAACTGGGGGAGGATGCAGTGGGACTGGTGGAATCAGAATATGCTGTGGCCAAAGCTCCAAAGAGTGCAGAAGCCACATGCCCTGGATAAACCATGACCTAACATTCTGCTATCTTCTATCTAATGAATGAGGTAAGCTGAGGATATGGAAGGCTTGATAAGTGGAGCAACTTACACTGAAACAGGGCTCCAGGCCTCCAAGTGGAGGCCTGCAAATGAATGAAGATGTTTATGCAGTACCTGCTCTGGAGCTTGTATTCAGAGGAGGAGATCTAGTTAAGGGCACATGACTCCTTCTTCAGGTTACCCATAGAAGGTACTTATAGATTTTTGAAACTTAGACTTTACTCTTAAGGAATTAGAACTAGTTCATAATCCTTCCTCATTAACCATCTTCTTATTCTCATTTTCTTATGTAAATGGTTCCATTATCTTACTAGTTTTTCAAGATCCAAACTTTCTTCTGTTTGCTTTATTATTCTTCCTGAATAGCAAGTTACCAGAACTTTCTTTATAAGTTCTTTTATGTTCCATTTCCTCTTCCTTGATCCAGATCCAAGTGTGAATACCACTGCCAAAAATGTAATGAAAATTACCAAACCCATTATCAACAATGTGATGATGATTACATATTGAGCATGAGCTCTTATTACAGCAAATAAGAGAAGTATTTGTTTTATGATTAAAACTAAATGAATAATAAAAATCATTTGAATGGGGCCTGCTGTAGGCCAGGGATTCTTCTCCATACTGTATACATATTAACTTATATAATCTTCTTATCAATCCCGAGCATATAATATTATTCCCATTTTATATATGAAGAGACAAAGGTCACATAATTAGTAAGTATGTACGCAATTTTGCTCCAAAATCCCTGCTTTAACTACTACATACACATTCACTAAATAACTATTGGAAGCTTGTTATGTGATAAATGTCATTACGGTAATGAAATGCATTAAAGACACATAAATATATTACTCTGTCTTTATGGAACTTACATTGACAGTGGAGGGGCTGGAAAGACAGACAATAAGTAAATAAAAATATTATATTAAGGTGATGGCATATTAAGATTAATAACTGCATCGAGGGAAAGGAATCAGAGAGAAATTATTTATTATTTCCAAGTTTGGGACAGAATGGGCCACTCTGAGAATGTGGCTTTTGAGAAGGGAACTAAAGCAAGAACAAACAACAAGTCATGCAGTATCTGGGGAAAGAACATTTCAGGCAAAGGAACTACAAAGAAAAGCAGCATTGGAATGGCCATTTTCTAAAACCTGTGAGAATTCCAGTGTAGATGGGCTGGAGTGAATGACAGGAAACATAAGAAATGAGGCCAGTGAGTTGGAGTCAGATCACAAAGGGGACTTACTGGCCACCACACAGTGATTAAAAAACATTGCAGGGTTTTAAATGAATGTAAAGTGGTTGTTAGGTAAAAGGAGATGAGTTCTGAGAAGCAGAGAGTAGAATTATGGTTGTCAGGGCCTAAGGGGAAGAGTCAATGGCGAGATTGCGGTCAATGGGCACAAAATTTCAGTTACACGAGATAAATAAGTTCTGGAGATCCAGCGTACAGCACAGAACCTATGGCTAACAATGTTGTATTGCATACTTAAAATCTGCTGAGAGAGATATTGTGTTAAGTGTTCTTACCACACGCACAAAACATTACCACTACTAATGATGGGGTGTGAAAAAACTTATGGCTTTGATGGTGGTGATGTGATCATGGGCATGTACTTACCTTTATATTAATTGAGTTGGATACATTAAACATTAGCAGCTTTTTACATTCTACCTTAATACAGTGG